TAAGAAACAAACAAAAAATGACTTTGATCTGATATTTTATCATAAACATATTTTGTTACATTAACTCCACTCATGTACAGAAGATATCAAGTTATTAAAACGTAAAAGTAATTTTGAAAATGAGATTTTATTATATATATATATATATATATATATATATATATATATATATATATATATATATAAGTAACCAAGCACAATAAAAAATACTCAACAAAATAAATAACAATTGCAATAAAAATAACCTTCAGCAGAACAATACCATCAAATGTAATTGTCAATACAAAGAAAAATTCCCACTTAATAACAAATGCTTAACTAATAACATAATATACAAACCTACCATAACTAGTAATACTAATAGATGAAAAAGTTTATATAGGTGCTAAAAAAACAAAAACAAAAAAAAACAACAATATCCCAACCAAACTCAAAGGGGAAATTATAAAAAGGGCACTCCTATACAGCATTAACAGCAAAAACTGCAAGGTATGTCTAGAGAGAAAATTACAAATAATTAGTTTTAGAAACAAAAACTACTAAAGAAAAAATAAATAATGCAGTCATATAAACAAATATTTACTTTTGCCATATATATATATATATATATATATATATATATATATATATATATATATATATATTATACCTACACACACAATAAAAAATAGTTATAAATCTAACCTTCCATAATTAATACCTTATATTTAAAATATCACCAAGCCAGGTAAAAAAAAAGATTAATTAAACAAGAAATAAAAAAAAATGAATATATCTATATTTCCCAAAATAATTCTTAACCCTAGTACATTTGAGAAAATGAATTGCCTTAAAAAAAAAAAAAAAAAAAATAAAATAGGTTCTGTCTGTTATACCAGAAATGACATTGTTGTATTATATTTTACAATCAGAGCCAAAAGAGAAAAAGGAAAAGAATAGGAAGAGTATAAGGAAACAAGAAAATGATGAAAAGGAGAAATAAGCACATTTTACATATACAAACATACACACCTAAAGCATAAATTAATTACATCAAACTTAGTATAAAGATAATGAGTAAAAAACTGAAGTAAATTTCTGAAACCTCCTGAAGAGTGGACTGAACAATTATGGGAAGGTTTGTCTATGAAACTCTGGAGTTGTGGTTATGAATAGAACATTAATCAGCTTTGTGGCAAATTTGATATATCTGTAAAAACAAAAACAAAACAAAAAACAATATAAATAAAGACAAAAGGATTCAACCTCCCCTTTTACCTTGATAAAGTCCCTCAGTAAGTTTTTTGTCAAAGCATTTTTCCAAACAAATCAACTTATTCAAATCTCATTGATTGGTTTGCGAAATTGAACAAAATGTAGTTTGTAAATTTCAATAAAAAATGAGAACGATAACTTCAACAATACTGTGAGGATTTTAACATACATCAAATTCTAGTGAGTGAAAAATCCAACCTCATCTGCTCTGCCAGGTGTTTCATTAATAGTGAGCTTTAGATTGTTTGAAAATATTAAATGAAATGCCAAATTGAAAAGGCAGAAGATTGAGTGAGTCCCACTGATGTAGCAAAATGCCATGATAATGTGTGTTAAATCAGAAGCACTACAAAATGAACCCAAAAGGAAAGAAAAAAAAAAAGAAAAGAAGTTTTTCACGTATATAAGTTCGGTTAAAGACCAACAAAGGTGTTTTGTTAAGAAATATTTTACTTCTTTTTCTTCTATATTTTGGCCGTTTTCTGGTTTCAAGTACATATTTAAATATAAATTGTTTTATGAGTACTTTTGGTTTTCATAAACCATTATCAAACAGATTTTGTTTTTTTGTGATATTGTCCTGATCTTTGCTGTTATCACAATGTTTTGGCTGTTGTGCCCTCTGGCCTTCAGATGTATATCGATTTGGGAATTCCAAACTATGGGGGTAGACTTTTTGTTCTGCTACCCATGTCTAGGAATATTGTCTAGTTCTTATTTTTAGTATTGCTCAGTTATTGTTCTCTCTGTTCCCATAGAGTCTAAGTATAGCCTGGCCCAGGACTGAACTCAGGATAGAACAGGAACAGTCTACCCCGTAGATTAAATAAAAGAGTTCAGTTTGGAATTCCCTCTAGGTTACCCGGATTGATATACACCTGATGAAGGTTGGAGGGCATAAGGTTGAAATATGATAAAGATGAGGTCAATAGCCTGTCCTCACTCTAGAAATTCAAACAGAAATATTTGCAAATATCACTTATTTGCAACTTAATGTAAGAGTTTGCGCTGTTTTTTCTCATGTATTAAATGAAATATATTTAATGTTCGTAAATTTGATGACATTTTTATTGATGTTGTTTCATATACTTAATTATTTTTAGCTAGGTTTTACAGAAAAAAAATGATATTTGAAAATGATGAAACTGATGTAGCAAAAAAAAGAAAGAAAAAAAAATACTAAATTTACCTAGACATTAAACAACTTTTATTTAAATATGTACCAGAAATGTGGAAAATGGTCAGAAATACAATAATATATTAAAAGAACTTCTGGCAATGTTTAACCTTCATGCTGGCAAAAAAAAAAAGAAAAAAAAAGAAAGAAAGAAAGAAAGTGTATCAAAAGGAGAGTTATTGCTTTGACACCGCTATTACTGCGTACACATCTGACTCCCTCTGCACTGTTTATTTACAAGATTATAAAAATGTGATATTATTTAACTTTTATAAAGATTTTATTATTTACCATTTTTTAAAATAAATAAATTTAAAGTCTTTATTTAGAAAATTTATTAATAATTATAAAATATAATCCAATGTAAAATGCAATATTTATTATTTAACATTTTACAATTAACTATAGAACAAGAAAATTGGAATAAACATAAGAAACATAAATTAAAAGAATGTTTAGTTCAGAGGAAGAGATGCTCTTAATCTAATTTAGTGAATTTATGCAACAAGAGCAAATGATAGAAATGTTCAGAAAACACATCTTTTCAAAATTTATAGTTACAGTTACTCAGCATTATGCATTTATTTAAATTTTCTTGTTCAGACATTTTTAGAAATTTATAAATAAAAAATTTTTTTCATATTTATTTCTATATAAAATGGTAAATGATAAATATTTCATTATAGTTGATTCACATATTTTTATAATCTTGTAAATAAGCAATCTAATAAATAGTGTTTAACATCTTTGTTGTCATTTCTCAAGAATAAAGAAAACGTATAAATCCACTTTCATATGTTTAGGTTTTATCAAAATTCTAATAATCACTTTTTAAAACAAACGTTGCTGTGAAAGTCAACAGTTCATATAGTAATAGCTGTATCAAAGGAATAACTGTCCTTTTAGCACTATTTTTTGTGAGTACAAAGGTTAAACATTGCTGCAGTTTCATTGGTCTTTAACCAAACATACATTATTTTTTTTTAAACAACTGTTCAAACATGCTGTTCATCTGTAAAGCAGACAGCTTCTATTTTCACTTTTGTTTCTTTCCACAATTTTATCTTGTCCATTTTCCAACTGTTTTCAGGATAAATTTATAAGATACTCACAGACACAAAGGAGTAAGTAAAAATAAAACTAGAATTGGCAAAGCAAACAAATAGCTTACAAAATTACTTTGAGGCAGAACTGTATCAACAAATTTATAGAGAAGAAAATTTCAATAAAGTTGAAAAATAAATCAGTTGATATACACATGGTGGATGGTGAAAAATAAAATCATGTCAAGCCATCTGAAACTCTCAAGCAAAATACTAAGCCATTAACAAATTGTACAAACCTGATCGGAGCCTCAATTAGAAGTAGTGAAGGAATTTTTCAGCCTTCAACAAATATTTTTACATCTGTCCATTGCTGTTAATCCATTCAAAGTCATTGACACCAAACGTCTAACACAAGGTTTCTTAAAGCAACCATCATATAATTGATGTTCACTAATAAGATATTCCACAACATTTAGAAGTGTCCCTTTACTTTTGATGTACTTTTGGAAAGAATTAATAACATGAAGGGTACTAAATGACCAGCAAATTAGATTAAGAGATTTTTATTCTACAGTGCAAGTTATTATTAAACATACTTAAATAACATGGTAGTGTGAACTGATCCAAAAGCATCATTACTTAAGCATTTAGCATGGAGTTAAATCCAGTGCTTCTAAGTAGGTAGGTAGGTATGCTAAAATGCATCAATGTGGGTGGGGAATCTGTTTATGCAGGAAGTAGGTATGGAAAAGTAAGATATGAATGATAAGTGTAGAGATGCCAAGTATGTAATGATGTATATGAATTATAGGAATGCAATTTCTTTGAACCAGAAAATAGCAAAATAATCTCTGAAGTGGAATGAGGCATTCCTATCACAACTGATTGTTCATATATTGAACAAAATATGAAGTGTCATCAAAAAATATAGTGCACTTGTACTGACGTTTCAAGTAAGTTGTTTCAAAGAAACATTTTATACTATAAATATTGTGAACAAATGATCTTAATTTAGACAAAACACATACAAAGGGGGAGTCATAATATCCAATACATTAAAGTATGATTCTGTCAGTAATGCTTGCATTAATAAAAAATGGAGTTCTCTGAACATTAGCCATTTATATTTCCAATGCAAATGTTCAGAGGAGCTCATTCTTTATTTACACCTGTTCAGACCTTTACAGTGAGGATTGATTTGCTTTTTTATGGCTTATCAACCTTTTTTAGGTTATTTAAAGCCATCAAATATTTTTGAATTGTAAGAATTTGGGGGGAGATAATGATTTCCTGTTAAAAGTCGTACTATTTAACTCCTAGCTGAGTGGAGAAGATGTAAGTGAATATAATGAACTCAACTGGAATTTGAACACGGCTTTTGGATTTTGAGTAACTCTCCATTACGCCACCCACATATCTAAATACTTAATTACAGTACCAAAACAAATCCAACTGAAATTGGAACTTGGCTGTTTGACTTCCCATTTCGAGTTGTTACCCATTTTACCACTTGCACATCTAAGCTTACAGCACCTAGTATTCCTAAGCAGTCACCCATCAAAGTACTGACCAGGATTGACATTGCTTAACTTTAGTGATTGAACAAGAACTGGTGTTTCAGAGTGATATGGTTGTAAGTGCTTTAAAATTAGGACTTGCCATGCTACTTTCACAGAGTTGAATCACATTTCCTTCATGCTCCAAATGTAAAAGGTTCAACTCAGCGTTTTCCCCAGAATCGTCACTGTGTAGAAAAGCCTCACATGTGGTGGGGGTTCTTGAACATTGCAATCTTAACCTCTTCAAGTCAAGGGTAAATTTCAGTATTAAAAAACATTCAAGAACATTTTTTTTCTACTTTGAACTACTCTACCACCTGTTGATTAGCCTGAATGTTAGACAAAATGGTGAAGCAAAAAATAAAACACTTAGATAAATGTAAAAAGGTGGTGTGATACTGTGGACACCCACGTACAAAAGGAAAATGTGGTTTTATCTTAATCTCAAGTGTTTCTGTGATAGAAGGCTGGTGGTTCTTTTTGAAGTATTTTCTAAGCAGCATCCATTTTGACCAAAGGGTAACAGGGTAAAGAGTGGATGAGGGGTTTTGGAAGATCAAGAGACAACAAAACTGGAAATAGGGTGTATTTTGATGCTGCTCTATATTAACAATTATGCTTGGGATGGGAGTTAGTTCTGGTCCGCTTTGGAGGGAGATGGACTTGTCCATTGTGTGGTTCTAATGCTGTCTATTTGTATTACCAGTCACACATCAGGATGTGTAGAGGGGCAAGGAGTTGGCAGGGGGAAAAGCTGATCTATGAGATGCACATAGCAGGTGTCCAGTGACGCCTATCTACCTAAGCAGGCAAATCCCTGAATAAAACATCTACATATATTATTGGAAATAGGGTTTGCATTTTTGTTTCTTGATGTGGTGTTTGTGTTTCATCTTTGTTACCTTGTGAGCATGCAGCAGGCCATTTCCCAACTTTTAGTGCACACTGACAAGATTGACAACTGAAATGCAACATGGGATAATCATTCGTGGTAGGTTTGTGTAAGTGTTGCCTTGTATATTTAGAGTGGTATTAAAAATGAATCACCAACACTTTATGTGGGATGAAATGAAAAAGAATTAATTTCCGAGTACAAACATCTCACTTTCCTGATTTTCAGTGCACAACAGATCAAGTACAAAACTTGCAAAATTTCAATGTTTAATAATCAAATTCATTTTTAAGAGCTAATGTTGCAATTATGATTTTCATTCATAACCCTGTGAATAACCATTTTATTGTACTAAGATTGACACTTGCTAAAAGATGAGCAATTTCAAATTCTTCTGTGAGAAAGGGTTCAAAATGCACTCTTCTTGTAGGTATGGATTAATATTTTGTACAAGTTTTTTTTTTTTTTTTACAGAATATAGATAAGTATTAAAGGATCAAGTTTTAATTTATATATTTGCTATTTCTTCACTTACAAAAATAGTAGAGAAATGTTGACATCTGTATTTGCTGTTTCATTTATATAGAATCATTAATGTGAATAATTTCACATATTTAATAAATCTTATCCATGTCATTGCAATTTATAAAAATAATAAATATACTTATAAAAATAACAAATAATAACTCAGTTTTCAACTTGTTCACATGGAATTAGATGATTATCTGATGATGTCACATAGTAGTTATCAGTGAGTAAACATTAATTATACTTTGACTGTTCAAACTAGTATCATAATAAGTGTGCATTTTTTAATGAAGCAGCTTCTTGTGCTTAAAAAAAAAAAAAAAAAAAAAATCACTTACCTAATACATCAAGAAGTACATTCTCTGGTTTCAAGTCTCGGTAGATAATGCCTAAAGAATGCAAATGCTCCAAAGCAAGGCAAATTTCTCCAAGGTAAAAACTGTAAGAAATTAAAAATTAAAATAAAATGATTATAGAATTGAATTTTCTTTTGTAATATAGAGACATATGATATTGGTGGTGGGGACAATATCTGAAAAATGAATTAGTCAAGAAATAATTGTTCTCTCTAAAAAAAAAAAAAAGAAAAAAAAAAAAACCGAAACAAACTCATTTTTCAGATTTGTATTAGAAATCTAGTGGCCAAACAAAAAGTCTTTGAATTCGAATTCTATTTCAAAAGCATTGGCCTATTTTACCAACCAATATATTATGACTGTATCTTCCATTTCTCTCTGATATGCATATTTCCTAACTATTGTACAAATAATAGCTTAATACCTGGAACAATAGAGCCAAGGAAACCATGAAAAAGTAAACATCTGCAAGAAAATAAAATTTCCCCATAAAAGAAATGGCTGATGATCTTGTTATTAAATATATTTAAACCTCATATCATTTCATGGCTTAATAGTTGCAAGACTAAGTAGTTGATTAGAATGCTTATAATTTAATTTTATAAAGATTTACTGTTGATGGTATAGGTAAGATTAGCTGTTCTTTTATAAGGAAACATTTGGCATTCATTAAGTGAACTGTTCATATTACTATTGGTTAAAGTTTATAAAAACCTTTTAAAACATTCTTTCAGAAAATAGGTTTCTCAAATTCACTGTTATGGCTCTTTCTAGTACTGATGGAGTTTCCTTCCTAACCTTTTGTTTAAAGTAGTGTGTAAAGCTAACATCTTGATTATGCCATTATTTTCTGTTTGAGTTACAAGTGCTATCCATTTTAGTTGATGCTGCTGTTGAAAGTTTTCAAGTGAGGTGGTTTTGGCTATTTAGTAAAGTTCTTTGTGATTCTGTAGCACCAGTCTATGAAACTCAATGAAGGATGGTCCTCTTCAAAATTCACAGGGTTTATTCACTTGAATCCATTTGTAATCCTTGATCTGAGAAACCAGTGGTATATAGATGATAATTTAGACATTTCTGAAAGAGTTGGATTCCATGCATGACATCCACATGAGAGTCTAGATGTTACAAAGCTATTTAAGAACATGACTTGACTTCTTAGGTTAATCATCTAAAAAGGAAATACCTTGGATACATTTGAAATTAGATAAGTGAAACCAATCTGATGAATAACAATGAATTTAGAAAAACATTTTAGAAAAAAAAAATACTAATGGATTATGATAAATCTCAATTACATATGATTAACAGTTAATGTTAGGTTAGTGATTGATTATTTTTTATATGTTATCAACACTTCGTGGATTGTCTAAAGCTGAAATATATTTAGGATTTAAGAATATTCTTTTTGCGAGCGAATATTAAATTAACAATTTTTTGAGAATAATGATTTTTCAGATACACGTTTTACTATTTAACCTATAGATGGGGGTAAGGAGATTATCATACATTTGCATGAAAAGCAAATGTAATGAACCTGGATGAAATTTGAACTCTGCTCTCCAGTTTCTCATTCTGATGCTAGGCCAGTGACACCATCTTAGCAATTCATAAGGCAAAAGAAGTTGATATGATTTAATGTTTCCGTTGTAGAGAATCTTTGTTCAAAGCTTACAAAAATAACTGAATGAGAGAAGAAGTGACCTTATTTTTATCAACCAAAACCAAACGAGTAGGAAAAAAAAGCAAACAAAAAAAATAAAACAAAACAGTGTTATAAATCAATGACATGATATATTCAGAAGTGTTTTAAAAAAGTGGGGGTGAATGTTCACACACAATCTGACAGGCATTTGCACTTTTAAGAAAAAAAAAAATGTATACTTTGATCTTCTATTGTTTTTTCATATTAGAGGGGGAGGGGAAATAGGTATATATCAATGGCCAGTACAATTTCAGAACAGGTAAGAGATAAAACTATCTAAATACAGTCTAGAGTGGGTATGAGAAGTAATAAAGATGTTACTCATCCACTTTAAACTAATATGCAAATGTTTCTTTCTTTCAGTAAAGTAAATAGGACAATTCTGGTTAAAAATATAATCACTTCAAACCTGAGTAGAGTGTTTTAAAATGGTATAGAAGTAATAGATGATCAGAGACGTGGTGTGAAAAAAAAAAAAAAAAAAATTACAAAGATCTGTTTTATTTGTTCTGTCAGGATTACATTTGGCTAAATATTTCAAACTGAGGAAAAAAAAAGAAAAAAAAAAAAAATAAAAAGGTCCTTAGATTATTAGTCATTTTACAGAAAAGATAAAATACATTGTACTTACAAATACAAAGTAATCCTTTACTAGTTAGAATGGAAGACGAGCAGTGAAAGCAAATGAGTAAACCAGTGCAGATTAATAGTGACCCAATAAAAACTGAGAAGAACTCTAGAAATTATCATTTACAAGAAAGATTATTTTTTTTTTTTTATTTAAATCTAATCAAATTTTATTTTTGGATGTGCTTCATGGTCAGGCTAAAAGTTTTCAGTACTACTTTGTAGCGCTTTCTAATAAGTACCGCGCATATAATATATAAATAATTATACATATATATATTTAATTATATTTATATACACTTTTCACACACATATATATAATAACTAACTTTATAAATTATATGCAAATAAATCTGTCAACCTGTACATTATATAATAAATTTCAAGATAAAAACTTGAGCAAAACTTACCATGCGCTGTCCTCCATAATAATTCCCTCCTTTTCCAGTTGTGTGAAGAGTTCTCCACCAGGAAGGTACTCCAAAATGAGGTAAAGCTTACCTCCTGTTTGGAATGCATACATCAATTTTACAATGAATTCATGCTGTAATGAAGAAAGAAAATAAACATCAGTGACAAAAGCTTCATAGATAAGTTCATAGATAAAGACCATATAGATTTCATTCCTTCTTTCTGAATGCCTGATATATCTGTTTTCACACATTAGGAATATCAGTAGTAATAGTATTTGAATTTACTAGACTATCAATTACTAGACTAATATATCAATTATTTTTTACTAGTATTTCTGTCAAAGTTTTCAAGGATAAAAGGTGCAAGTTCAAATGTCTTATTCTCTACATCACACTGAAACACCAGTTCTTGTACAATCATCCAAGTTAACCAAAGTTGAGATTGATTAGTACCTAGATGAGTGACCACTTGGAAATATCAGGTGCTGTAAACTTGAATGTGCAGGTGATGTAATGGATAATGGTTTGGAATTGGAAATCCAAGAGCCAAGTTCC